GAATAAGCATCTATGAAAGCCCTTAGTCTTGCCTTAATTCAGAAGCTTGGGCTTGGTCAGTGCTTGGATTGAAGACCAACCTGCATTGGGTCATGCTGTAAAGTTTTCTACTTTTATTTTGAAAGTCATCTTGGAACACAATGAAAATTGGTTATATTGTGGAACTAAGGAGGACTGACATTTTAAGTCTTCATCTATTGAGTCATAATAGTATTGCCAAGTGGCTTCTGGGCCAGATTAGTACTGGGATAAAAGGTCATGTTGCATTACCAAGTGCTTTTAAAGTTAAATACTGGTTAAATAGGATTTTTTGGCAGCTAGCTCTTACCAATGACCAAATAGCTCTAGGAGGCCTTGATCTCTTTTGGTTTAAGAAACTAAGCTGGGCTCAGCCTCTTCAGGGACTGGATGGGAACCAAGTTGGTTTCCTAGACTCTTGAAACTTAGTTAGACTTAGCTTTTGTTTTGGTTATGGAACAATCAACCCCGCTCTTTAGCCTAGGGTCTAGGAAAATATAAATATTTATGTATATACATATATATATATATATATATATATATATATATATATATATACACACACATAAAAGGCAGCAATCAACACAAACAACAAGATTAATCTAACAGAGAACAACAAGTATTTCAGAGCCCAAACTGCTGCGGTCGCATGGTGTCTGTCGCTAGGCTAAAACACCCCATGTAGCCGCTGCTTGTTGGTTTGGGCTTTTTCAGCATTGCACCAATGTTGTTTACAAATCATAAGGCATGATCAATTGGATGTCGCGGATTGGATGTAAACCATCCAATACCAAAGCGGAAAATTGGCTACCTGCATCTTTCAGAATAGATTTTAAAATTCTGCTCCTAGTTTTTAAGGCTCTAAGTGACCTAACACCTGCTTATATCACTGAATGTCTGTCTGTTTATGTTCCAGCATGTCATCTTAGATCTGCAGATACTGGACTTCTGCAAATACATTCAGTAAAATACAGAAAATGTGGAGAGGCTTCTTTTGGTTATTGTGCTATACTCTACACTGTGGAACTCAATTCCACCTTTTATTAGACTTTTGTATATGGTGGGTAACTGGGTACTTGTAATGCATTGGGCAGTTTTCACCACCTGCTGGAGCACTTTGCGGTCAGGTGTGGAGCAGTACCACACTGAGATGCAGTTTGTGAGTGTGCTCTCAATAGTACAGCAGTAAAAGTCCACCAGTATCCTAGGACGCAGGTAAGCTTTCTTGAGGCTCCATAGGAAGTAAAGATGTTGTTGCACCTTTTTTGACCATGATGGCGGAGTTTAGGGACCAGGTGAGATGTGGATGTCAAGGAACTTAAACAGCATTCTGTCATTTGAGTTTTGACAGTCCAGTCCAATTCAATGGTGTCCTCCGCTGACCTGTTGGTGTAGGTCCAGTGTAGCAGCTTTCAAAGCTCTTGGAGATGATGGAGGTGAGTGTGACAGGGTGGAAGTCATTCAGAGCTGAAGCAGTCAAATGCTTTGGCACTGGCACAATGGTGGAAGCGAGTTGGAACAACTACCTGGGCCAGCAACAGATTGAAAATGTCCATGAAGACCCCAGCACATGGCCAGGTACTCCATCAGGGCCAGCTGCCTTTCGTGCATTCACCTTGCTCAGAGTGTGACACACTTACAGTTGAAGCTGATGTTACATAGAAACTATTGAAAGTGACTGACAGCAACACAGCTTAGCCAGTTAATTAGTCTTCCTGATGCGCTCGCGGTAGGGTATTTATTGTTGTTTAAGTTGTTGATGCTTGTTTAACATGTGTTAACATGTTGGTTGTGCAACTCTGTGCTGGATTATAGGGCAGTTAGGGAGTGTCTACTATAAAGGAGAGTTGTATGGTTAGAAGTGACCTGTCTGCTTTCTGGCAGTGTCAGCTAGCACTGAGTGGCGATTCTCATTTGCTCCCTGTTCACAATGTTTCCCACGTCTTCTCCTTTTTTGATGCAACAATACCTTACTTCCACAGTGTAATGTACCTTTAAGTGGTTTTCTCTGTCTTTCTGTTTCCTTACAGGCTAAAATTTTCCGCTTTGGGATTGGATGGTTTACATCCCAGTGAAACCATTAACTGTCTATTGACAAAATGTGATTTAATCCATTCTAAAACTGTGCCTGAGAGGCCTACCCAGTACTCAAGATGGTGGAATCTTGAAACTTGTGTACCAAAAGCTGCACCAAGATCCAATAAGACCAGAATAGAAGAATTTTGTTTCTCAGTGCTGAGCCTGAGGTCATTCACAACACGGACCAGTGCTGCCTCAGTGCTATGATTAGAACAAAAACTTGACTGAAACTTCTCATATAGCTTGTTTGATACCAGATCTGCATTTAATTTTTACAAAATGTTTTCTAAGACTTTACTTAAAAAATGAAGGTTTGAAATTGGTCTAAAATTATTTAGTACAGAAGGACCCATGCTACTCTTTTTTAGCAGAGGCTTCACCAAGGCAGTTTTAAAAGCACTTGTTGACAGAGAACAATGAACATGATCAAAAACCATCTTAAGGAGAGAAGTAGGGAAAGGGTCACATGTGGACAAACTTAATTTGTTTATAACATTTGTAAGCTCTAATAACTGATAGCAGAGAAAGATGTCATTACTGATATAGGTGGTTTATCAGGAAGATTCTAGGAACTTGTTTTAGTCAGCCAAGCTACAATCTGTTTTATCAAGTCTATTTTATTTTAAAAATTGTCTATTATTATTATTATTATCTGCACAAAATCTAAAAACAAACATTTCTTATAGGTACCACTAACTTACCTCTTACTCAGACATCATTTGATATGGATAACACTGCTGTAGACTGTTGTTCCACTATCAAATGAGGAGAGTGCGATTGCCTCTTCACCACACTGGGCAGTGTAGACACTCTGTATCACCCGCACTGACAGAACATTGCCATACTAGTTGTTTCACAAGGCAAAGTAGAAAATTGCTCATTCAAAGACCTGTATTGTGAAACAGCATCAGCTAAGTAATCAACAGCTCGTAGACCCCACGACTTTGTTTGATCTCAGAAGAGGAGCGGGGTAGGGCTTTGCAACAGCTAGCATCTTAAAAGCCCTGAGAAGCCTTGGGCTTCTTTAGAAACTTTTGATACTGCTCATGTTCTCTCCTTTCCTTCTGCCCCTCTCCTTCCCTGGAAGATTGTGGAGGAGTTATGGAGAGGAAAGGAGCAGGAGGAACTAAGAAAACGAGCAGTAACAAGGGAAACGAGACAGCTGACCCACTTCAGTGTCATGCTGCTTTTAAGTGGTCTTGATTTTATTGAAAAAACAAGTTTTCCACCAGGAAGCACCACCTGAATGCCCTTGGAAGTTGAAGTCAGGCACATCAAAATTTGCACAAATTGACCAAGTGGTGACATCAGCACTATTTTCATCATTGTAGAAGATAAAAGCGAACAGTCAAACAATGGCTCAAAAGCTCTGAGGACCCTTGATCTTGTCTAATCTCAGAAATGTGGGGCTTGGTCAGTGCTTGGACCCCTTTGTCTGATCTCAAAAACTAAGCAGGGTGGAACTTGGTCTATATTTGAATGCAAGACCACCAGGGATTACCTTACTGGGTGATGTAAGCTTTTCAACCTTTTTTATGAAAGTCATCACTGAATACAGTTAAAAATATGTGATATTATCAAACAAACAAAAAAAGTTAAAATGTTAAAAACAATTCTTCATCTAGGGTTGTATAATGTGGTGAAGGAGTTTGAATAAGCTGGTTTGCTGACAAGTCCTCACTCCCCTGGTCTTCTTTATCTCAGATGCTTAGCAGGATGGGGTGTGGTTGGTGTGTGGAGTCCATCTTGGAGTACCAGTACTTTTTAGCCTTACCTTTATCGTAAAAGTCATCTGTAAATGCAGTCAAAAGTGAAGATTATGGAACATAGTAGAAAACTGTGTCTACTGGGTTATATAATGTGGTGAAATAGTCTCAGTATGCTATTTTGCCAGCCAGTCATCCCTCACAGCCACAGAGCTCTCAGATCTGAGCTTCATACCGCTAAAGAGTGCAGTAAGCAGCACCTGCATTAAATTTGGACACAGTATGACATACTATATCTAACAATATAACAACTGACACAAGTATGGACAAAAGTAGGACTTTAAGATGTTTGCTCATAATGGCTATTCTAGCAACATACTTTTGTCCATTTTTATAAATAAGAGTATGTCAAACAGTGTTAGAAGTCACATAAGCAAGTCTATTTGAGATAACTTACCAATGCAATATGGTTTGAGGTCCTACTGTTTTCAGCTATGCATCACACTGTTGTCTGTCAAAAAAATGTGCTTATGATTTATTGCCCCTATTAGGAACTCTGGGTCTAAGCAGAAGACAAAAATTCATGCTGTTTTTTGGTAAACTAAAATGCTCCAAACCTGAAAAATGCTGCATATATACAATCCACATTTGACGAAGCTTGCTGGTTTGTGTGGGATATTTCTATGAGGTTGTTTTATGGGGTCACTTTAGCACACAGTAGTTTGCATGGGGGGGTAATGGTATTTTGGCTCCTTAATGAGCCTATAATTCGGAAGATCCTTGTGGACGTTTGGAGGGAAAATGTCTGTACGACAAAACATATCAGCTTTGGAACATAGCAGCAATTTTCAAAAATGCAATTAATTTTTCTCATAGAGAAAACAAGACTAGACCTAAGTTTCTAATGTATGCATGATGCCAACTACAGAATGACAATGTCTTGAGAGGCCTAGTTGGCTCAATCAAATTTGAATCAAATTTGATTTAAATATTTCAGGGATTAAAGACATCCTGCTCTGACCTTGATATTGTAGCACCCTCTTCTGGTGAATTACAACAGTCAGAGTTTAATTTTGGAGCACTAATCTTTTCTTTGAACAGCGCTACAATACAATCTGTGAGCCATACTAGTAAAGGATATCACAAATACCAACAGGACATGCCTACATATGACCAGCTGGCAATACAACTACATTTAAAAGAACCTCAAACATAACATTAGCTTTTATTAATTCAAGCAAACTGTTACATTAAACAGTTACATAAGTTACAAGGTGTACACTTTTAGTTCATATTTTGTTTTTTTCTTCATCTTTTTTCTTTTTTTTATTATTTTCCTGGCTGGAACATAGAAACAGCTAATGCTTAGGAACGCAGGCAAAAAGTAGTAACAGCACAGTACATTCATCAACTTAACGACACGTCTATGCAAACCATAAGGCAGAAGAAAGAGAAATGAACTGCAAAGTCTTTTTCAGTTAGAACACGCACAGGTAGATGGCGGGTCATTCATTCGCTGATGACCGGCGGGTGGCGACAAACTTAAATCGTAGAAATGATAAATTGTGATGGTCCATCTGTTTTGTTCAATACTGTTTTCAAACACGATGCTCCTCATTATTATCACTAAGCACTGGGACAGCAAGGACATATCTGTGTCTTCTTCTGTAGTGTTTTTTTCTGCTGTAGTGCTAGACATCTATGCCTCGATGGGTAGGCCAGAACAGTGTTTCTAGAGCCCTGATAAAGCACAGCAGTTCATGCCTCTCACAGGCTTCATTTTAACACTTACTATTTATCTTATGCCCAAGAATTTTCAAATCTTTACAACAAACAAGAATCTCCACTTTTTTTCTTATTACAATCATTACAATAACATGATATCACATATTCCTCAAAGATATGAAAAAAGATTTGCGTCCGATTTTTATTTTATGAACCATCACGCTGATTTTCAAGGTATGTGCCTTGGTCCATACAGGCATTTACTGGCCTATTTAAGATATGAAATGTGTTTCCTTGTCATGTAAAATACAACAAAATTAAAAAAATGCCACTCCAGTTTTGTTTACAACCAGAAGGTGGCAGCATTGCCTTAGAATTCAATAAGGTGCTCCTCACCGCCCCTTTACGTAACGCTTCATACGAATAAACAATGAGACAGTGAATCTTTGTCCCCCCTTTAAAATGAGCTACAAGATAAAAAACAGCTGGGTTATTTTCATTCATTAATCCTACAAGAACAGTTAAAAAAATTTGAGAATGGCAACATAGATTGAATTATATAGTGTAGCAAAGCATTCAGAAAAAAGACGACCGCAGTCAGGAAGTCTCCCAAACGTACCACAGAGAACCATGGAGGAGGGACACAAAGAGTTAAATGAGACACATCTGTTAAATGGGAATTTCTTTCTCCTTCCCTGCTTAACATCCCCCACTTCTCTTTCACATTCTCCTCTCTCACTCCATCCAGTCAACCTCATCGAATTCCGAGTCATCTTCCGAGTCGCTGTACTCCACGGCAATGCGTCGAGACAGGATAGTGGCTACATCATTGCCCACACGCTCGTGCTTGGCCTCCTGTTCCCTTTGCTCCTCTACCTTCCTCAGCTGGATACCTGCAAGAGAGCGAGAGAAAAGAGAGATCACTCAAGACGTGGTCTGTGTAATGTTGCATCGGACAGTCCCAGTTACCTCATGAAGTACGAAAACTGTCACATGGCCACATCGTAACTACCAGCTGTTTGCATTCATATGGTCATCAACAACCGGTAAATTCATCATGTCAACAACACATACCCACTGAGATCAATCAATGCCACTGCATTACTGTGGTATCAGAGAATTTACTGGCTGAAGATACAAGAGGTGTAGTAAATAACAAACGCTACATGAACTACTCATTGCCCATTTTATCTGGCACAGCGACCATATACACCGAGGAGTTTATGTGGTATGATCAATCACAGATGAAACGAATTATGTTGATTATCTCATAATGCTGATGGTAAGCATACTGTTGGTTCTTGTAGTTGACGTGTTGGATGCAAGAAAAAATGGGCAGGCGTGAGGACCTAAACGCGACTTGGACAGGCAAACTATTACAGCCCCACAAAATGACAAGGCTCGTCAGCAGTGGTGCAGGAACAGACAAACCCTGAACAGGTGACAGGATGTTGGGCGCCCAAGTCTCATTGACGTGAGAGGGCAGAGAAGGCTATCCCATGTGGTCTAAACCAACAGAAGGGCCACTGTGGCACAAAGCAGAAATTTTTAATGATGGTTATATAGAAGGTATGTGTCACAACACACAGAGCTGCAGACTGGTCAGAGTGCCCATGCTAACCCCTGTCCACTGTCAAAAGCGTATACAATGGGAACTAGATCTTGGAGCAATGGAAGAACACTGCCTGATCCAATGAGTCCCATTTTCTTTTACATCATGTGGGCAGCCAGGTACTTGTGCACCATTTACCTGGGGAAGTGATCGCACCAGGAAGCACTGTCGGAAGAAGACAAGACAGTGGATGGAGTCTGATGCAATGTTCTGCTGGGAAATTTATCAGCCATCCTCTGCTCCGTCCAGCAATAGAAAGGGACCACCACAGTACCACGAACCAGACATTATTTGGGTGGCAGTGACAGTAACACTATAGTGGCATGGTAGTGTATGTTGCACTGGTTAATGTATCAGGTATATCAGTGTTACTGAGATTTTCAAACACCTCTGTATCTCTGCTGGATTGAGAATATTCCACCAACCCAAAATATCCAGCTAACAGCATCCTGTGATCAGGAACTGACCACTGATGAAGGGTTACAGGATGACCAGCACAAATTGCGCATGGAAACAGATTAGCTGTAGTCTCTAACTGTATACCTACAAAGTGTACCAACAAAGTAGGTTTAAAACCCCCAGCAATGCTGCTGTGCAGTCAGACTAGTGCAGCACACTAACACGCCAAGAGCTTTTTTAGTATCTCTGCTGTGCTGAGAATGATCCACCAGCCAGATCCTGTGCTGGTCTCTTTCTGTTGCTGGACAGGGTAGATGAGGAGCTACAGTAACCCACCAACCTACATCTATGTAGGTTCACCTGATAAAATGGCCAGTGAGTTTGAGTTCTTTGTGGTGCTTTATTTTGTAGACTGAGGTTACAGCAAACCTGTCTGGATTTACCACTTTGTTAGCCATGTGTGAGTAACTTCCTCGTGGTAAACTTGCAAATTCACCATCCGAACATACAACAACAATCCACTACGTAAGCTCAAAAGAGAGTTCACAATGAGGACTGGCTAAGCTCCTACCTTTACGAATGGCTTCTAATAGGACGCTGCGTGCATCGCTGATAGGCGGCAGGTTGGCAGGATGCCTCTTGACCTCGTGACCCGAGTGAGTAGGAGGAGACGAAACTGCTCCAGGGAAGGAAGGCACAGGGGGTGGGCCTGCAGGTGGACAGGGGGAGGAGCTCCTGGCCCCTGGGAGGGGCAGAGGAGGAGGAGGTGGAGGAGGGGGTAAAACAGTCCCATCTCCCATACCAGGGGGCAGAGCTTTATCCTGCTGTAGGCGCGCTGGAGAGGAATGAAGGGGCGGAGCCACAGGAGGAGGTGCAGGGTGTAACACACCAGGGGCGATCTGAAGGGGTGCTGGAGGAGGGGGTATAGCTGGGGGCTGCTGAGAGGGTAGTGGTGGGATTGGGGGCGGCGGTGTGCCCCGCATGCTGGACCCTGAGAGGGTGGATGGGAGAGGAGGTGGAGGCGGAGGTAATGGGGGAGGTGGAGGGGGCGGGGCATTGGGGTTAAGGAAGATAGGAGTGCGGGCTGGAGACTGAGGACGACTGTCTGAGAAACCTGAACTGGAGCTGAAAGAGAGGGAGAGAAAGACAATCAGTGCGTTGCTAAGTCAGCACTTTAAATGTTTCTACAAGATGACTTTATTGATTCTTGGGTATCTGTCCACCTGCATCACTGTTCCAAACACAGCTTGACTGTGTGTAGATGAACCTCAGAGAACACACACACATACCAATTACATAAAACGGACAGTCCTGCTATTGATCTAATGACATTACTTGTCCCAGCTATGTTCTATACGCTTGTAACTCAACTCAGCATTTCTGAGACTGAAGAGGGCTTTAAAGGACTGCAGTATTTGCATTAAGGGTATGAGGCTGCCACTAGTGATGCTACCATTGTATCAAAAATAATGCCAAATATATGCATCAGTAACATACTGTCCAAAGACTTAAGCAAGATTAGTTTTAGCACAGGAGGTTCTGTAAATTTGAGGGATCTGACTGGCTGATTTATACAGGATAAAATACCAGTGTAATGTGAAACTACCACAAATAGCCCAGAAGTTTATACTGAGGGTTGGGAGGGTTACTTTAAAATGTATTGCAATACAGATCACAGTTACCTGTAAAGCTGGGTCAATTTAAGCAAATTTGTAAATTAACTAACAAACAGCAGAATGTCTTTAAATAAAAAAGTATCCTTTACTCCTCAAAAAAGGCAAAAGGTGCCACTGGGTAGGCTTTTTTCCATTTTGGAAAAGCAAAAGCAACATGGAGAATTTCACCCTCTCGTTCAGAAGTTGGATCTCCTGGGAGTATTTTGGCACAAAGCCTCAACGTCTTGCCTATTCTGAGCTGTTTTTGAGAATGCAGATCATACGAGATGAAGCAGAGGACAAATCTTTTGACATTTGTTACAAGTTGCTTAAACATAACCAACCAGTCAGCAACCATACAGCACACAGGTAAGTTACTGGCTGAGTGGGCTCATGTTGCCTGCCAAAGTTCACAAAACTTGAACAGGGAGGTGAATAAAATAAAGTTGCATTTTCACCTCCAAAAAATCATGTTTGGTGTGCAAGAGTGGTTTTAAGGTAACCCTGCTAGTAATCACTCTATTGCCTTTTCAATACAGATTCCATTTTTGTATCCTGATTAAGTAATGTCGTTATATTCTGTTAGTACCCAAGTCATCACATTCAATCACAGTGTCTATTAGTAGGTTTTGTTACTACATTACCATGACTTTATCCAAACAGAATAAAAAACTTACAAAAGCTAATTCTCCCTATAATTATTACCTATCAGACATGTGGTCATTTGAGATTCATACTCAGTTAGAATCATATTGCCAGCACTTGCTTAAATTACAGTGCCTCCCTATGTAAACTAATCCAGCTCAAACAAGACTTAAGAGGAAGTTGAAAACTCAGGTCAAATGACTAAAATTTGACTAAAACTAAAATTTATTTCAGTCTTAAAGCTGAAAATGATGGCATAAACACCTGCTGCTACTCAGGTGTGAAAAAAATTTTCATGCAGTATGCATGTTACAGTATTCACAATCTTGTATTCTGTTCCTGAAGCCTGGCGCAAACAAACATGTTCGTATCAGCAACAATGTGAAAAGGACTAAAAGGCTCAGGCGTTAAAGAGAGTTGTGAAATGTACTGATGGAGTGCGAGAGAAAACCCAAGTCAGGTGTTTTTGCTGTTTTTTTTGTTTTTTTTCTCCTCGGAACTATAAATAAAACAAGAAAACACACACACACACACACACACACACACACACACACACACACACACACACACACGCACACACACACACACACACACACAGCAGGGTGGAGCAGGGGTTATTACTCATGTGTTTTGAACTAGGTCACCCCTGCTACAAAGCCAAGAGAAATGCTAACTCATGAAGAGAGAAATGCCTCAGAGTAAAAAGTCAAACAAACCCAAACAAAGAATGAAAAAAATAAGAAAGGCAGACTAGAAGAGCAAAGCAGCAGGTATTATAACACACAATTTTGTATTATTATCTTTATGGAGGGTTCTACTAAACTATATATTACTGCAAGTAAACACTGCTATGTCTTTACCCAAGCTTAAGCTCAGAAACCAAAATAAAATCTTTTTTTTAAAAAAAAAAAAAGCTGCATGTTGTGTAAAAAGAAACATTATTCTTAAAGGAGACCAACATAATGCCTACACAATGTAGAATACCTTCATATCAGTGTGAGAACAAGTTTCCCATGGCGTGAGTCATCACTCATGTTACCTACAGCGCGTTATTTAGCATGATGTATTTCTCTTTTGCTAAGTGCTGTGTGTGCGTGTGCTGGTGACTCACTGAGGCATACTGACTATGGGTCTTGTATGTCCTCACTTAATGAATAAGATTTTTTATGTCTCTGAATTGAGTGCAAATCTGTGTGTGTGGTAGAGGTCTGCTACCTGACCTGAGCCTAAAGAAGCTCCACAAAATAACGAGTTTCGGGCCAGGTTCTAGCCCCTTGTTTACATAAATATCGGGTTTAGGACGGGCTCAGGTTTATATATTCTAAATAGCAGTGATGAATCATGACTGTTAGCGCTAGGTCTTCAATTTAGGCCATTCATTTCAGAACTTGCTCAAAAAAAGGGAAAAACACCTCTATGTAAAAGCTAATTTCTGATAGCACCCTTATGGGATTTCCAAAGTATTTTAGCGCTAAGTTAACAGCGATTCCTGTGAACATTTTTGGCCATTCTAAATTAAACATGGACATTTGAAGCTTGTAAAAGACACTGCGTGTTTTATTTGAAGCTTGTAACGGACATATTAGCATGTATTTTACCTTGTAGCAGTTTGCCTAAAGTGATGTTTTCTTCTCACAAAATTGTTCCCACCCATTGGAAATCTAAACCTGATTGGCTGATTCCACTATGTGTACCTAATTATGTTTGTCTTTAATCTGACACTTGAGGACTTCAGTTCAGCTCCTAAAGGCCTAACCAATGGGAGAGCTTGCATAGCTGTATGTAAACTGTAAAAAAATAGTCAATACCAAAAATGTCAAATGCATCTAAAAATATATACTGCATTTTCACACTGCTGTTGTTCATTCACAGAAATAGAATATATATTTACAAAAACAAATTATCAGCTTTATTTCAGACATTTCTGTTCACTGTTATTATTATGGTAAAATACTGTATGTCAAAAAAACTAGTTGAACTAGTATTGAGTTACAGTAAAATGCAGTATTCTTTATAAATTAAACGACTGTAATTTTACAGATTTTTACCATCTTTGAGAAACCAACAGCTGTAAACTTGTAATTAACAGGTTTTGGAACCGCAGCTACTGTCCTTTTCACAGTTTTACAAAATATACATAGATACTGCAAAAGTGGGTGATTTTGCCCCTCAATAAAACCATGGATGATGAGAGGGATGTGTTGGGTTGTTGAAAAGGTCACAGCCGCTCTTTCCCAAAGTTTGTTCAGCATTTCTGCAGTAGAAGCAGAAGTGAGAGGAACTATAGCATAGCAGGAATAACAGTTCATGCTGTTCTCTTCCAGGTATGATCAGCAATTCCACCAAAATGTGGACGTGTAAAATACTACTTTATCCCAGCATGGCTTTTTCAGTCGCTTAACTAAAGCACATAGTAACAAAGCAATGTGCTGTAAAACCATGTCTGCCTCTGTTAGAGTGTGCAGGTGGGTGTCAGGTTCAGACTTCAAATTTAGCAGTACCAGTTGGGCCTGGTTGGATCTCAAAGTCACAGACCTCTAATGTGTGTGGGCATGCTTGTGTGCACATATGCGTGCAATAGCAAAGACTGATTTGACTTGGTAGTGTACACCTAAGTCTTATTTGCATATTTGCAAGGTATGCTGGATGACAGATGCTGGTGAGATGTTTGGGAGGTGTGAGTGTGATTACATGTGTGTTTCTTAAAGGGTGTAAAACTATGTGTAACTATATACTTTTTTTACTTGTGGGATGTGTCTGTGTGTAGCTTACAGCTGTAATCTGGTCTGAAATTTGGGTTTGAAACTGAATATGCCCCAAAAGCTTTTTATTCAAGCCCAACCTGACCTGACCCACATCATGAAGTTTTGCGTCCGAAACTGACCCAGGCTCAAAATATTCCATCCAAAACTGACCCAAACCAGCCCATCCTAACCAAAAAGAAGAGAGTGCTGGTTAAATTACGATGTAGCGTCAATAATATTCATCATTAGATCATCGATAAATTATTATCTGAAATACTATTATATAATGAAACCAGCTGCCCAAAATCACACTTAAATTCTGATAATGTATCCATCAAGCAATGCTCTTGCAAAACATACACTGTCAGGTACAAAGTGAAGGGGATTCAAATAACTCCAGTTTGAGTGTCACAACAAGAAGTTACCAGCTGATCCCAAACATGCTTCATCTGTGTCATTTAAATCAAAACTTAATTAATTAGCTTTTGGGAACACCTAAATGTACCAAAAAGAGTATGTATGTAAGTATGTAATTATGTGTGTGCATTAGAGAAGTGGACAGTGGTGGTAGGTGGAGTTTGTTGCTTGTTGCATATAGCACTTTGTACAGCACTTTGTTCAACACGTTTTAAATGTGCTTTATAAATAACATTTACTTACTTACTGAATATAAACGTACTTTTGACTGCACTAAACTGTACTCTCCTGAATCGATTAACTGTTTTATGTCCTACACATCTATTTCCTCACAAGCGTGGGCCTTGTGGACCTCAGTGCTAAATTCTGGCAACAACATGAGTGGGTGATTCCAGCATGCCAGATTAAAAACTGTTTCACGGTAAAGATGGTAGAAAGAAAGAATACAGCTGACACACAGCTGAGGAAATACACGGCAAAATCTACTGAAAGTGTAAAACCAAAGCAGGGAGAAATGCAGGGCGAAATCTGTTAAAATCAGGGTAGATATCCGGTCCAACCTGAGCCCAACACATATTTGGGAAATGACATCTGAACCTGACTGAACCGAACAGAAACTGAGTGGTTTTGGACAAATATTTAAATCTGTAAAGTAGCTGACTGTTGAGGCTGGTTTATTTGTGATGTTAAAGGCTGTGTGTGTGTACCTGATGGCTGAGGCTGGTTTGATGTCTGACGGGTGTGAGGGTGGGGGTGGTGGGGGCTCGTGTGGCCGGCCATACATGCGGTCTCCTGTCCGGTTCAGCAGCTCATTCATCTGAGAGTATGGAAGAGCGGCCAGAGAGTATGGACCATCCAGATGTTCCATGTACATTTGCCTGAACAGAGTGAAGCAGGAAGGAAAAAGAAGGTTTATAATAATTCCTTATTTCAAACCCACACTAAATATAGCACACAAGCACACACACACCACGCCTGTCGGATAGAAGTGTATAAAGCCCCCCAGCATTGTTCAAGTTCTATGGATTGTTGGAGCATCCACCAATACCTTTGGGATGAGTTTCAGTTGCATTATGATCCAGAACTAATCATCCAACATCAGAACCTGACCTTGCTAAGGCTCTTGTGACTGAATGCAATCAAATCTTCACACCAATGATCCAACATCTAGAGTAAAGCCTTCCCTGAAAAGTAGAGCCTGTATGGCAGCAAATGGGGCAAACTCCCTCTACTATTACTCCAGATAAGCAGGTGTGTACACATGTTTGGCTTTTTTGTCCCCAAGTATACAATCCTATGGGGTCATTTCTAGTGAATTACAGTAGAGGCCAAATAAAACAATTTATCTCAGCATTTTTTTTTCAGAATCTTTTTACTTTACTTCCAGGGAGAGAATCATAACTTTTTAAGCTTAACAAAATAGAACTTCTTGGGTTCATTGATCATGTGCTGGACGGGAGGCATGTTTCCTTTTACAAAGAGTGACACGTTTAGCCAGTAGGTGGTAGAGGTAATAACATGCTGAATAACATGCTAAATCACACTTAAGGGCTTGCTAAAGTGTATCATATATATCATATAGATATATTAGTCCAATAGTTTGTGTGCACGTCCAGAACATACGAGCAGTTCTTTTTTCAGTTATAACAAAAAATTGTAATTTTAGAATAAGTACAAATAAACACTAAGAATGTAAAAGTAACAAGGTTTTTTTCATCTCCAAAACAGTAACTTTACAGGAGAAGGCAAAAATGTTCTTCACTTTTAACGTAAGTTAACAGAAAGAGGTTTTATTGCAGGTGATCCTGTAGAATTTCTGTCACTCCATTCATCATCATTCATCATCAGCCACTGTGTTCAAATGATTTAGAAAAAAAAAATCAACAACAATAGAAACACGTTTTTTTGGACAGCGATGATGTATATTTTGTTCTCATGATTTATCTTTTTCTTAATACAACGCAGATGTTTTGATTCCATAACGAGATTAAAATGAAGTGCTCATACACACACCTGGGGTCATGGTAGGATACTGCGCCATTGGTGGTCTCTTTGTGTTTCTCGTCTGTGTCGTCCTCTGCAAGCTCCGCCCCCAAAGCCAGTTTCTGCCACTCCTTCTTGCGATCATGAGGAGCTCGCGGAACCTTCTCTGGTTCTACAGGGCGATCTATGTTCTTAAGCTAAAAGGAGAGAAACAGTATGCAATTTTTACTGAGGGATTACAGAGTTTATATGAAAATGATTATTACATTTGGTCACATTTACTGTCAAACACATAAAATCTGGAAGTTTAGTACCGCAGAAAGCCAAATGAAGAGATCTTAGTTATAAATGGAGAGAGCAGAGCAAAAGATGGAGAGTTAGGTGGGCAGAAATAGAGAATATGTTAGATGTGTAGATCTACAATGTGTACACTACCAAATGTGAAATAACCATCTGAATGCTATTCATGTGTACAAACATATATGCAATATTGTATTTTATTGTATTATAGTATTATTTTACAGTTACCCATTCACTCATTTACACTCACGGCATTAACAGTACTGGGCAAAAGTCAGCAACCCTCCCTTTCGCTTACCTAAACTCCAGTCAAGATGGCCATTACTGAGTCCAGTCAAGAAGCCATTACTTACAAGTTATTCTTTTTTTTTCTCAGTGAGACTTCTTGACAGCTACACATTCTTTCAGATGCACAGCATTGAGTTGTTCTATCTCAGTGGAAGGTTGAACAGAAACACCTGTGGATTTTTTCAGATCTGAAGCAAGAGTTGATTTTCATCTCTTTTTTCCATATTTGGAAACCCATTTTTCCACTTTTTTCCTTTAACTTTCCCATTCCTTACATAAGAAAATTATCTTATATCTAATCTTCTCAGAGATAAACTTTAAACTCTAAAACAAATTCGCAAGGAAGCTAAAGTGAGTTTGGGTAGTTGCTTGTGTGATTGTTAGTGTCTCTTTAAAATGGAATATCATGTCAGTGAGAGCTTCGGGAACAGCTTTTGTTGAGAGGACACAGCTGTACCTTATTGACTTTCAGACTGGAGGGATGGAAGAGATAAAGTAGAAGTAGGTGCACATTTAAAGAAGTAGGTACAACTTAAATAGTGATAGATTTGATGCTATGCTTAGTGTTAGTGGCTTTTGTGTCATTTTTTATTATATAGAGTTTTGTGGATACAGTTTTTTAGGGCCCTGAGAAAATAAGATTTAAAAAGCTAAAAAAACACAAATATTACTATAAATACAAAGAACATTAATACAATAAAAAGTGATTTTGCGTATACAAATATGTTCGTTTAACCATTTCCAAATGCCTGGTACTACTTGTGGTTATCATCCAATACCATTAAATAGTTTGGCCAGTCAGTGCTTCATTATGTTAAATGCAGTGTGCTGGTGATGGAGCTGGCTTACTGTTGATAATTGGCAGTTTTATTAATGTAATTCGTCTGGTAATGTTTCATCATGTGAATAAAGTTTCAAATCTCCAAATATTCCGATAACAAAATCTTGCAAATTTGACTACAAAGTACCTATGCAATTTTCAGCTGCAGTCTATGAGTATAACATAATGCCACGAAACACATGCACAAACCAGTACAACACTGATGCTGAGCTTATCACTTGTGAACTGAACACTACTGAGGACACTGTTCAGTTCCACTATCCCTCAAAAGAGCTTAACACTGAAATAAATCAACTGGCTCATCACAGTGATTTATCAGTCTACTCAGGCTTTAGCAGGAACTTAATTTTTTTTTTTTTTGTTGAGTTCCTCTTTAGAATCTAAAGAGTATGTTTGAAACACATGCCCTGATTTTAAAATACTTAGTAAACAAGCACTTATGGTCTTTCTTTAAAAGATTATATGTTTTTTATTTAGTGGAAAAGTATCCTAAAAGTACTCTCCTAAAAATTTACTAGGACCACAAAGCAACTATATTCTGAATACTGTCTTTTCAGCATGTAATGTGGACTGAAAATAGATAATTAATTTTTTGTATTCTGAATATGTATTCCCAAGGTTTGTATTCCGCTACATCCCAGCATAGTTTTTTTTGCATTTATTCTAATGATACATTGTGTTTTTACAAGCAGAAACACACTTATTGATACTATAAGTGGTTTTAAATAATGTGCTTAGGTGCTTTAGTTTTGCACAGTACTGTATACGTGTCCTGCTATTTTCCAGATGAAATGAAAAATGAATCACTTTTACTTTATGGCCATGTTGAGTGGAAATTAAATAAACAAAAGGGTGGTCTCTGACAGTACTGTACGTCCACAGATGTTTATTATAGGAATCCATTTCCTGTGCTGCACGTTTATGTACGTTTGCAAGCCCGCACACACACAGAACTTCAGGTGTGCCCTTTTCCCCACTACATCTTTATTTTTCCTCCCAGACAGTGCTTTCATAATCTGTCGTGTAAGCGCTACCTGTGAGCTGAGGTAAAACACTCGCCCACACACACACACACACATTTGTGCACACATGTATAGTGAGACGAAAGTCATCCATACATTAGGAGATCAAGCAGTTTCAGGTGAGCAGCCAGCTCTGCAAACGCACACCACAGAATGCTTGACAGCATAGCAATACACACACATATGGCAAAATACAGGAAACAAATCAATCTGTATGGCTCTGTTTCAGTGAGTCTGTTCGGGATATGCCCTGAAAACACAGACCTCTGTCCTAGCTCAGCTTTTTTGACTACCTGAATGGGAAATTTGGGGACACCTTACCTTCTTTTGAAAATTTCAGTGAAATGCTGCGTTTACATGTTGGCGGTAAGTGGTCTTCTGAGAACGGAAGATGAGAATGTAAATTTACTGGGTGTAAAAGTGGAAGAAGGAGGGGTTTCAGGCATGTTCCTCCCCCCAAACTTTGGTTATAACATAACTACATTAAAAAACTGTGCATCAACAGATGGGCCATAGTCTACACCTGAACACCAGCAAGGTGGGCCTACAAGGCAATAAATAAAGTTCTAATAAAGTTCTCTTTTTTTCAAACCGTTGTTAAAGGCACAATTTAGACATCTTTTGGCCCAAAAGTGGTTTAAACACTTGAAATTTGAGTGCTTGCAGGATTTAGCATTATTCTCACTATTCTCACTTTGTTTGGTTCAGTAGTTTTGCAAAGAAAATGGCAACATCTAAACAGCTTTATATTTAATATGCAAAGTTATGGTAAACAGAAAAAAGAACTGTTAGGTGTCCCCAAACTTCTGATGGACAGTTTACAGAGGTGTTTGATTTATCCATCTCTTCACTTGTTAAATGACTTCTTGACTCTCATCTTGACTTTCAGTACTGTAACTGACCCAGGGGAAGGATTCTCAGAGAAACTCATTCAAACCGTCAGTGTAAAGGTCATCAGTATGCTTAACATTCTTAAGAAGGATAGAACAGCCCCGGATTAGAAGGTTTTCTAGGACAGCCTTCATACATGAAAAACACTTCAAATACTTCACAGTAATTTGGCAATTTGCTTTTCTGAAAAGCTGATCAAATCCTACATAATAGTGAATATAATAGCCATAGATTCCTTTGTTCCCCGATGATGAGTTTAAGTCTTACTGGTTAGTTAATACAAGTTCTACATGTGTACTATTGTTTTTCAAAGTTTTCTAATTCACATACCTGCCCTGGGAGGTCTAAATACTTATAGACCTGATCATACAAGTGGGGGTCCTGTAACTACAAGAACAAAATAAAAAGAGAAGCACCAAAGGCACAATTTTAATACAGCACAACACAGCAAAAGCACAAAATAGAGCACTGAAGCATTGTTTACCAAAACCTCAAGCTAAATGATGGGTTCACATTGTCAAACAAGAGCAAAAGAGACGAGCAAAAATAAAAAAAAAAATAGCTAAAATAACAGAAGGAAAGTGCAGGTTAACAGAATGTGTAATGACAAAAAGACTTAAAATGTAAACAAAATGAAACATATTTAAATGCAAAATTAAACATAATTCAATTAAAGAGGCAAATAAATGTTCAACACAACACAAAAGAGGCAGAACACAAACCTGCAAAACACAACAGAGAACACAGTTTAACAATTAAAAATAACAGGAACAAAGACAATATAAAATATGTGGCATGCAACAATTTTCTCTAAAATAAATGACAAACACTACCATTCAAAAGTTTGAAATCAATGTTTTCGGTAAAATAAACCAATTTTGTGACAGAAAAAAGTATAAATTCTGTCTAATATGTTTCAAATAGTAATTAGAAAAGGCTGTTAATTTTAAGAAATGTAAGATGTGTCCAGAATATTGAGCAGGGTTGTAGATGATTCTGGAGCTGTATAACATCCAGAATGAAGTTAAATGTTATATCCAGCATGGATATTAAATGGAAATCATGCACTGCTTATTTCAGAAATGGGGCAAAAAAGCTGACAAAAATGACTGTAAACATGTAATTTCAGCATGTGATTTATTATTTGATTTGTATAATAATTCGTTGATTGCACAATGCCTTCAGTGTTGAATAAAATAGGTAAAATTACCTTTTGCTGTCTACATTATAATTTTTAAATATACGTTGTACTTTATTATTGTATCTGGCCCAGCATGGTGGTGGGATGGCAACGGGAAGGCAATATTTATATCTGTTTCTCTGCATACTTTGTTAGCCCCCTTTACCCTGTTCTTCAATGGTCAGAACCCCCACAGAACCCCTACAGAGCAGGTATTATTTTGGTGGTGGATCATTCTCAGCACTGCAGTCACACTGATGTGATGGTGGTGTGTTAGTGTGTGTTGCACTGGTGCAAGTGGATCAGACACAGCAGTGCTGCCACACACTGTGTCAACTCACTGTCTACTCTATTAGACACTCCTACCTTTGATGGTCCACCTTGTAGATGTAAAGTCAGACACACTGAGGTGTTTAAAATGTCCAACAGCACTGCTGTGTCTGATCCACTCGTACCAGCACAACACACACTAACACGCCACCACCACGTCAGTGTCACTGCAGCACTGAGAATGACCCACCATCCAACTGATACCTGCTCTGTGGTGGTCATGTAGAGGTTTTGAATGAAGCTGTATAAACGATGGCCGTATGCTTTAGTCTAGGAGGCTTGATTGTTGAGGTTTTTAGGTTTGCTGGTGTTGTTTTTCCTCAATTTTGCGATTATATCTCAGCTATGATGGTGAAGTCTGTGTTCTTGTTCATGTGTACACAATCTCCCTGTAATAGGTAGGGTGATCACTGCTCTGCTAGAAAGACATCGAGGGATATTATGTGTTTGGAAAATGTATAAAATGTATCCTTTTTGTGCCTCCTGTGCATGACAGATAGCCCACATAACAAAGCTCTTCTTGTGGGGCTGAGTTGTATATAAAATAATAAATTAATGCTAAGAAAATTGATTCTAAACTTTTAAACGGTAGTGTACATCAGAAATAAATCAAATATTCTAAACAAATAAACAAAGAAAAACCACAGAAACTAAAAGTAATAGTTTTTAAAATAAATAAAAAGTGTGTTTGTTGTGTTTGTTTTGCACTGGTTGCTCACTTTAGTGAGGCCTCAGTCATGTGAGAATGCTGATTCGGATTAGGTTAAAGAACACATGCTGAAATATCGGCATGTTTTGAATGAATTAAGTGTGAGGGGAGATATTTAGTACTGCTGTGGCATGCTCATTATCACGCTGCTGGTTTGGAGGGCAATCTTGTGTGTGATGACCAGAGATGTGGAGTTACTCTCATAAACAAGCTCATCTTCAGCACTTAATTGCTGTGACACCCTTGAACACACAAACACTCTCTCTCTCTCTTTCTCTCTCTGTCACACTCATACATTACCAATGGAACGTAATGAAATCAAGCAGTGATGAAGATTGATTAAGGTCCATTACCCTTATTAAAAACTGGTCAAACACACATGCACACACACACACACACACACACAGGATGCAAATTTGGCAAATTCTGTTTAATCATTAACCAACAAATCTAAAACAAAGGGCATGACCCATGAAAACAAAAAAGGCAAAAAAGGGTCAGGTGCATTGCACTGTTTATACTGACCTTTAGGTGCTGCTGCCATGTTAACGCTAAATCATGCTACGTGTGCAGTGAAAAAAACATGTATTCTGGTCTGAGCATTGAGCGAGGGTTGCATGGCCACAAAGCGGATATGTATACGGTCTAGGACCACAAATGAAAGTAGATCAGATATGATTTGACAACAATCAACAGAAAGTCAGTAGCTCGCAGCTTTTAAGCTTTTTTGTCATGGGACCACATTTGCAGCTATAGCTTAAGGTTAAACTCAACAGAAGCAGCATGATGTTTAAAACATAGTCAGTTGTGACCTACCTTAGCACATATCATATGCTAGTCATTTTTGTTGAGAAATGGCCAACATATCCACATGAGCAGGGGTCAATCTTTGACTCTAACAAAAGGGTCTTTGCCAATGACTCAGAGAGCCAAAAAGCATGAATTTCATTATATCAGCGAGATCTGTAGCTACTCAAAAACTGTGTAATACACATTTAGGATGGTTTTATCTCTCTTATATCCCTTTATCAACAGCTCTGGTGGTACAGGTTAACCAGAATGAGCAGTGCTGTTGCGGCATCATGCAAACAACTCAACAACACCACTTGAGTTGAATGAAAAACCAACCTATTCAACCAAACTATCAACTGTTTAGCGAATATTTAATTACATTTTAACTGAAAGTGTTGGTTGTACATTTATGTATTTGTTGGTTAATGGTTAATCAGTTAATCATTAACGTTCCTAACACACATACACACACACTCACAGTGCTAAACATCCACACATTTTTTTAGTGGAAACATGACATAATGAAATATCTCAATCTTTCTTCATCTATCCTTTTATTAATTCTTTAATGAGTGGTGCCAGGTGCTCATGTCAGCAGTGTGTGCATTTGCATTAATGCTGTTCACATATAGGCCTGCCTTGCTCTAAAACCTCAGGCCTGCTCTCTCCTGTTCCCCTAGCTACCACTCTCTTAGCTAACGTTGATGATCCTTCATCATCCTCTGTTCTTAATCCCCTGTATTTCAACCCAAAGTCAGACAAAGTCCTCTCACTCTGATGCCATATTGGTCAGATTTTGGGTAGTTACATTTAAATCTGAGAGCCCTCTATAGATGCTTTGTAGATGCTCACCTTGATGTAATAGATTCTATTAAATCTATTAAACCTAAACCTTACACCTTGTTATAACAGTAAGCGATGCAAGTTAGCGACAACGACAAATCCAAAACCCACCCACTGTAATCAGTGAAGCTGTCTACACCAAAATAGATAAGAAGCTTCATGAAGCAGAAAAAAGGAGGAAATATTCTAAGGATGTTAACAGAAAGGAAACAGGAGAAATTGCACAATTACAGCTGCTGTACAAAATCTATAGTGGAACTCTCAAAATAAAGGGACTCCCATCTATTCCAATAGTGAGTGTGGATATTTGCTTTTCATACTTGCAGCCACTGGGAAATGCTAATTGACAGTCATTTGTTTATTTACATATATAAATAACATAAATAACAGTTTTACTGCATTTTTAAGAAAAAAAAAGTTTTTAAAAGCCTTTTAGGTCCTACAAAGATTTAGAGATGGGCTTGTTCAACTTTTAGGTGAGGCTGATGCCAATATTTAGCATTAAGATTAAACCAGGGATGCAGTGAAAGTTTTCAGCCAAAAACGGGAAAAAGTGAAAAAAGTTGGTTTTCAGCCGAAAAATTCTTACAAATTTTGCAGAAAAAAAAAATGAAACACAGATTAGGACTGTAATGAAGTGTCAAACTGTAACACTTAAGAAATCGTCTAAATGGTTAAGAACATGAGAAATAATGTATTAAAATGCTATTTGGGTCCTTCACTCCCCTGCACTGGTCAGCACAGATGCATTCAAACAGTTTCAGCAGCATAAGATAAACAGTGAATATTCCCCTGCATATTCCACTGCAGCTTCAGTGTGGTCTTATGCTTACATTCGAGCATGACAATTTTAGCATTAACTGATGTTATGAAATCCTTTAATTAAATTACATACATAATACTAAGAAACTCTATCTTTTGGTAATAAACTATCCTCTCGTTTTGACAGTAGTTACTACAAACGTGTGTTTGTCAGATCCTGCTGAGGTTTATGGCTGTTTCTTCTGTTAATGACAAACACTAAAGTAACTTGTGTGTTAATAGCGCTTGTCGCTGGAGAGACTGCTAGGTGTGAGTTCCAAAGTCACGTCCATGTGCTTTATACATTAAAAAATAACACACTCTGGAATTTAGCTTTAGATACTTTTGGGAAACCATTATGTATTATATTTTTATTATTTTACAACTTTTAATATTTAATATTATTCTCACAATCTCTCAAAATCACCTCAGTAGCATATCTCAACTCAAATAAATCTTCTGAAATCAAATGAATTGGCCGCAGCAGCTGTCACAAACTCTAACTCAAAAAGCTTCCCGGACTAAATTATTGGCATCCAAGAACGAGCAATAGCGCAGCCTTTACTACAGCTGGCTTTGTGCTTAAGATGTTGCTAAATGTACCCAACAGGTCATGCTGTGTTACTGTGGGTTGTTGGTAGAGTGGGGGTTAGTGGGATCAGGGCTTTGGTGAGTTGGGTTTTAGGGGAAGTGGGCAGCAGGCTGGTGGACCCTGGTGGGTTTCTTTGCTGT